AAGAGTACGAAATGATAATAATAATAGTAATAATAATAATACATGTATAAATGTATATATATTTTTTTATTTTTCTTCTATCATTAATTATAAATGGAAAGTATAAATCTAATTTTACCTCGAAGTAATTGCCATTCGTGACTGTCATTATTAAATGACCAAGTTGACGTTGGTTCAGGTATTGATTCTCGCACAGCTTTACGACGAAAACTAATTCTACGCAGACTACCACCGCCTGGATGACGTCGAAAAGAAGACTCTGTTCGATGCATTGTTAATAATAATTGCACATATATATATATATATCTGTAATCTTTATATTTAGATATTCGCCTTGGATATGAAATATAGTCTAGTTGATGTTGACGATGATGATAACATAATGACAAACGAAGATGACAGGATAAAAGTTAAATGCAAAGTCATTTTAGTATAGCAATGAGATGGTAGTAGCAAGGCTCGACTACTAATCAAAAGTATTGAGGAGAAGAAGACGAAGAAGAAGAAAAAGAAGATTCAATTGACATGAAGAGTGAAAGAGATTGTTAGAATGAAAAAAAATGGGAATCAGAACTGAAGGAGAGAAAGATGAATAGTTGTTTATGAGAAAACGACGACAACTGCTTTCTCTTCTTCTCTCTATGTCATTTCCTCTCGATCTTTCATTCTTTCTCGAGAAAATAGATTCTTAGAGGGGATAAAAAGAAACAACAACAACAACAACAACTGCTAGATAGACTGATTCTAATTCATCATTTCAATGCGCGTGCCAGAATCGACTATTCTAATACACACGTTGATTGAAAGTGCATGATTCTCGCATGTTTATATATGTGTATGAGTATAAAAACATTAAGCAGTTATTCTAATGCTTTTGCGACATCTCCTCATTGAGTCAAGGATGACAATTTGCTTATATTTCATTTGAAGTGCTCATCACTATTTCTTGGAATAGCACAATAAATGCACATGCAAACACATTGTATAGATATAGATATATAAATAAGTGATAATAATCAAAAACAAATGAATAGTAAATCTTACAATCAAATACCTGTAAAAACTTCTATGTCATAACTAAAAAAGAAATTAATTAGTTATCGATATCATGAACGTGATATCGAAGCGAGTTAGTATTTGTTTATAAAGCTTTTTCCTTTTCTTCTTTTTCTCTTTTTACTGTTATTAGATTACTTAAACATCGATCATTCAATTAGATATTTATGAAGATTTTGACGGATATATATCACAACTTTTGAATGAATATTCAAGTTATAGATTTCTATTTTTTTGGTTGTTTACCTAATTAAAATGATCATCGACGCATATGGTAAAAGATAATCCATCACTTTTTCTTATTATTAGAGGCGCTTGTTCGATATAGTATGTTTACATATATACATATGTTGTTATTTGTTTATTTTATTACGAATAGCAAAGCACAATCTATCAAATACAAACAATAATAACATGTCACTTACTTGACGGTGGTATTTCAAAAACATCTGTATTATTACTAAAACTTGTATTAATCAATTTTCGACAAATGGTAATAATTGACAATCATGCATATATACTGTCATATGTGCAATACAAGAAAACCTAGCAAGTGATGGTCATATCTTCACATAAGAATTTTGAACAAAGAAATGGAAATGTGGTGTTCGGTGTTAGGAAATAATGTTTATAATTATGTCATGTCTCCACAATATCATTATTAGATACAAAATGAAAAGATGTTTCTTTTTCCGTTATTTTTTCCGGATGTGTGGGAATCAATGTATTGATCTATTATTTCCTCTATGTTGGACATTCGCTTAAAATTGATTATTTCAAAGAATAGAATAATTGAGAATGATGGCTAAATATAAATTAAAGCATAACAAATATATTGTAGCTAGTAAGAGAGTGGAAAAAATACAATAATTCAAAAACATATAATATTTCGACCTTTCGCGATCAATTATCAAATATAATATCAAGTCTAATGAAAATGACCGATATCAAGTTCAATCAAGATGAACAATATCAAGTCCAAAACTTAATTGGATATTAAACAAATCAATAAATATTATCGATGTATGAATACAATCGACAATATCTATTATTATTGAATATTTATGTAGCTCAGCGTGTACTATTCATATTTTTGATGGTTTTATTTTTATTTCATATATATTTGATAATGGTCGTGAAAGATCGAAATATCATATATTTTTGAATTTTTTTTGTATTTTTTTCCACTCTCCAACCAGCTACAATATATTTGTTCTGCTTTTCTAGTGAATATTAATTTCTTGACTTACCTCAATTCAAATCAATCCTAAAAAATACATAATTTCTATAGGCTCTATATATCAAAAGATATTTCCCAAGGGGGAACAAATTGATTTCCACAGCCAAAATTAATCTGAAATCATTCAAAATCACTCAAAATCACTTGAAATCATTTGAAATCACTTGAAAGCACGAAATCAGTTTGTTCTCCTCGATATTTCCTGACCTTTCCCAAGGTAATCCCAAAAATACAGATATTATCTCTATATCCTTCTCATAATAAAATGAATATCTTGATCCAATCGAATACCAAACGTAGAATTGTATCTCTTCAACTGAATATGTAAAAATATTTTTTAGCTACACATTATTGAGATGTTATCTAGACGTTTGCAGCAGTGATGTTTGGCTACTATCGTGCATTATATAATGATGTCATGAAAGGATCCCGTATGTTAAGGAGGCAAATCTGCTACCCCGCTAAGATAGCATTTTTATATCCTGATTTTATACCTTGGATCCAATGAAACATTGACAAATATTGTTTTTCTCAAATGGACTTTTACTTATATAGATAAGCGAATATCTTTACGATGATTCCATGACAGATGCTCCTCAGACCGATGCTCCCGCGACAGTTGCTTCCACGACAGTTGCTCCCGAGACACTTGCTACCCGCCGACATTTGCTGTCCAGACAGTTGCTCCACGGACAATTGCTTCCCAGCGACAGTTGCTCTCGTGACACTTGCTCCCCATTGATAGTTGCTCCCAAGCGACACTTGCTCCCCAATCGTACTTAGCAGAACTGTTATTGATTATAAAAGCAACATGTAAATTTATTTAATTTAAGTCAAGATATTCACAATTTAATACTAGACATTTTATATGATCAATATACGAATAATGTACACAATTAATTATACGATTAGACATAAGGAACAATAATAGAATACACATTTTATTATTAGAAATAAGCAACAGCAATATACTATACTTATTATTATTAAAAAAAAACAAAATACAAATATTTACAACTAAGATATACCATCAACCATCATTTGTTCAAAATAACATACAAAGTATCTTATGACTTCTTCAATGAAATAATCTGAGCTAAAGCCATAACTTTTTCAAGGGCTGTCTTTGTTGGTTCATTCAGGATGTTTAAAATACATGTTTCTTGACGAACTTGATCTTTTCGACGTAATTTTGTAACACCAGCATTTGCTTGTATAATTTCAGCATCAATATAATTTTGTTCCTTTTTTAAACCATTTAAAAATTTCCAAAACTTTGGATGTTTGCAATTTATTAACGATGATAATCTATTGTTCCAGTCTTCAACGATGTTTGTTAGTACGATGCTGACCTTGAATTGTTTTGTCGTTTACATTCCACAATAATATATCATATTTTGCTGCTTTTCTTGGGTGTGATAAATGACTTTGAATACCTCCTATATAATATTCTTCAAAATAAGTTAATACATGTTCACTTTCTGCTTGAAATTGTGCTTTTCTTTCCACAAATGTCGGAATCACATCAAGAATCGGTAACAGTGCTAATGCTGGTAATGAACGAATTTGTTTTGCAAAATCTCCATTATCATCATATAATGTCTTTAAGCCAAAACGTACAACAACAAGATAAATATTTTGACATAAATGAAAAAAACATCCGGATAAAATCGAAGTTGGAAACTAATTTTTAATTTGATGAGCAGTTGCGCGTTCATAATCAATCATTACATTTGGTGGACCAAAATTTGGTATTAAATTCTTTATTTGATGGAACATTTCTTTGTATAAATGTTGTTTTTTACCTAAATAAAATAGTGATATATGGACAAAACAAATCAAAGTTGTATTAAATGATACTTACCTGGCAACAATATATAAACAACTGTTAATATATGATTCCAGTATATGGCATGAACTGTATATAATTGAAAATATAGTCCTGTAACTACACTAAATGTACCATCTAAATATATATAATTTGCATTTTCTAACATTTT